GAATCCTCTCACCCTCCGCATCTCTGGCCTGTACCCCAGTTCTGTATGGATAAATAAATAAATCTTTAAAAAAAAAAAAAAAAGATGAGGCAAACTAGCTACAGTGTGACAAAGAGCAAACGGTGAAAAAAGAAAAGAATGTTGAAAAGAGAAGAGAATGCTTTGGAGTGACCTTTTCTCACATCCTGTCTGATTTGTGGGTTGTGGAACTTTAGGAAAATCTGTTTCATTTGTAAGTCGAATGTGCTGACAGCAAAGGTTGGTGTGTGGTTCAAATGACAGAAAAGGAGGAAAATCATAGTACCTTGTTCAGTACACAGTGTTTCATAAATGATGTCAATTATTATATTATTTTAGAGCAACTCCTGACCACATTATCTTCTTACAATTCCATTTACCTACCCTTGATTTATATCATAAGTGGAAATCAATAAAAGAAGCCTGAATAACTGAAATCAAGAGTTAACAGTTTTTCAGGAAAATGGATTCCAAACCCGAGCCAAGAACAACAGCCTGGTTTTTCAAGGCTCACTTACTACAGGGAATTTATTTATAAAAATATCAGAGTAAAATAAAACGATGGCAGAGTTTACCCCCCCATCACTTTTAATTGGTTTAAGTCCATTTGTTCCAGAGAATCTGGACAGAGCTTCATGACCATAACAGATGTTGTTATAGTAGAATTTAAGAATTATAAGTCAAAGGAGATTTAAGAGTATAATCTATGATGTTGGAATAATAATTGCAGTTAAGAAAATAAAAAACTCACATACATTTTGATTCTGAAATGAGGCCCAACCTGCCTCAATGAGTCTTCAGTTAAAGCCATAAACTTCAATGAGCAGAAATAATGAGTGCACAAGCATCAACTCAGTGAGAAGCCAAGAATACAAGTTGTCATTCTTCTCTCGAAACCAGGAGACTAGCCTGGTTTATTTTTGCTTGTTTGCTCTTAAACATGAAGTCCACAGTAGGATATATAGGCTGCAGACTCTTATTTCCTGTGCTATAGTAATAATTCAAGGAAGAAACGCCACTTCAGACACTTCTGCTATATAGAGACCAGCAAGGAAGGGACAGAACAGACTTTCTTTTACAAGAGGAGAAACTTTGCCAACATTTCATTACATTTTAACTTGCCTCAAATTTCACATAATTTGGTGATATTCTGGATTGATGTGAATAAAATTTTTGGCTTTTTTGGCCCGTTTGAAGCATTCAAGTAATTCTGTAATCTTGCCACATCTTACCTTCACTGGTTTATAATTCCCGTGTTGATGTGACATCCCTTTACATTGCAAAAAGAAATTTTATTTTTAGGGAAAAAGCAATAATTACATTTGCTTTCAGTATTTGTTAGTTTTACACAAAATCCAACTACTATGCCACATTTCTACTCTGAAGAGCTTGTTTTCCATCACTTCAACTGTAATTGCATTGCATCAAGCCCCTGAAGTGATCCTGCCTAATCAGACTAGTGCAGTCTGGATTTTGGAGTCAGATTTTTTTTAAATACACATAAACCTTCCAACTTCATTAAAAAAAAAATCCAGGTTTTTGTTTCGAGAAACTGATCTAATTTCATGTAAAATGACATGTATATATTTTGTTGTTGTTCTTTTCTAGTCTTTGGACTGAGAAATGCTTTCCTTATTCAACATGAAAACAGGTATCGACAATGTATAGCAGCATTCTTCCTACAAGCCCAAACAGAAAACATCAAAGTAAGTATTTCAATTTTGTAGGCCTCATTCTACAAAACTGACATTAAAAGGCCTCACCCCAACCTCTTAAGTAATCATAAATGGAAAGCTTTGTGTACTTCCCGCTTTTGGGAAGGGCAGAGTTGGGCAGAGAGGAGGGAAAGATATAGTCTTTCTCACATATGGAGAAGTCAGAGTTGAAGTTTTCTCACACTCACAGAGTAGATTCAGGCCCCTACATTTTCTCCTGCAACAGCAGCTCAAGAGCCTCCTCTGAGTTCTGCAGTTTCTGTAGAAAATGGGAAGAACTCCTTTGGATTGCACAATAGACTCTAAAATGTTCCAGTCAACTTCCAAGGTGCCACCCTGCAAATAATATGATGTCATAAACTTAAGTAAGAGGCTACTATCATGAGCCATGCCAAACCTGCTCTTCAACCTTTGAAAATAGGCCACTGTTTGTACAGCTAAGGAGTGGTAGAGAAGCTACCTGATGCTGGTTTCTTTTAGTTTACCACCATAGCAACAATGTGGACAGACGATAAATGCAACGTTGCACTATTCTTAAGGATTCAATTTCTTCAGTAACCTTCCTCAGTCTGTTTCTCAAATTACAGCCCTGATAAGAATTTCTATAAAGTGGAAATTCGACTCAAACAACTTATATTCTCCATGCTCATTTTTATAATTTGTCATTATTGACTATTACAGTTCCTTGTTTATCCATCTTGTACAACATACTCATCTAATGCATTTTCATCTTCATATATGATTAGATATGTACATTGTTAAAAAATAGGAAATGTATGCAAATGTTGCGTTAGTTTTCACCTTTAAAGAGAAAATCTATAAATACTGTGGAAAATATTAATCCAAATATGTGAGAAACTGTTTGCTTAACATTCTCTCCACCTCCCTCTTAACAGAAAGCATGGATGGCACAAATAGCAGCAGCAATTTCTAGCTTCACCAAGAGTCAAGAAACAAAGAAAATACCTTTATTTACATTGCCTGCAGAATCCTCGGAAATTTAGAGCCCTAAAACACATGGCATACCTTTGTAGACATTAGAGATCAAGGTATTTCATTCAAACCTGTGTAACACTTAGTGATGAGCTAGAGGAAATGTACATTTTAAAGGAGTTCCAGAATATGAGAATTGGTGCTAGGAAAATCCTCATAGTGAGGAATAATGACTGCAAAAAATTTGAACTCTGGGAATTTCTTGAGTAGTATATATGCTAATATCCAGATCTAACATGTACTAACATCCAGGCAGGTTTACCAGAGGTGCTGGTGAACATCAATGCTATTATAATTTTACAGGATAGACAGTCTGTGTAAGTGGAGTGTGGGAGGAAAACAATGCTCACTGCCTGTGCCCAACACAAATCCAAGCATCTTACTTTGTGTGTATCTATAATGAAACCAATTTTCCTATGAGGCTTGTAGATAAGTCCTACTGCTTTATAATCAATCCTACTGCACACTCAGTGATAATTCTTTTGAATCAAAGCTTGATTGCTCCTTTAATATAGTAAGCAATAACATAGTTTATATTTAAATTGCAGTTTTTAAATTTTTATTCTCCAACAGTTTATCATCATTACTTCCTAATGCTCTAACTTAAAATTAGAAAATCCCAAAGGCTAAAGTTCATTAAGAAATGACAAAAACCTGTTTGTTTCACCAATTAACACATTTACATAGGAGATTCTCAAAGAAATAATAAAATACCACTTATCGTTTTCTTTAAGAATGATAGTTTGTCATAAAATTAATCACTGGTTGTGTGTGTGTGTTAGCATAGTACACTTACCTTTATTATGGAGGGACTTGAAACTTTATTAGCATTTTTATCAAAAAAAGGCATCTAGAATTATTATCATGGTGAAAAAAACAAGATTAATGCCATGTAAAGAATGAAATTCCTATGTTGTTGATTTCTTACAATCAGAGTTTATCAAATGGAAATCTGCATTTTTCAATTTCAGGCATGTTATGGTACCTTTTGCAATTTCTATAATGGAAGTGTGTACCTTTATCAACTTGGGTTACAAGTCCAATGATGTCTTCAACTGACCTCCATAAATTAAGAGAATGGGGTAGAAAAGACCATGTTTGGGAAGTCATGTGCACAATTCATTTTTTAAGGAAAATATGAGCTTCCCCATATAGATGCAGAGTACAGACAAGTGCAGCAGAATGGCTTTTGTGCCAGGGGCAAGCACTATTAGAATGTGGGGTCACAGTTTCTTTACAATAAAATTGGACATTTATTAGGAGTAAGTAAAAATAAAAGGAAAACTGGTAAAGCTATGACTACTGTTAAAATGTCTTAGACTAAATGAGTGCAGAAAGACAAAGAGGGGGAGAAATCACAAGTATGTTTCTGGAGATGGGACTTATATGGAATTGAAAGTGACTATGTCCAGGAAAACACAACATAGATTTATGCAAAAAAGATTTAGGAAGAAATTTCTGACTAAAAATAAATAAATAAAACTTTCTTTTCTCGAGAAAAGAACTTAATGTAATCATCTTGCAGGGATTTTTAGACATAAGTATGTAAGGAAGAAGCCAAAGGACTAAGGGATCTCTCAAGATTCCTTTGTCCCATGACTCCAATAATTATATACTTATACACACATATATACATTCAATATATTAATGTCTAATTTCTCATTAAAGGGAAAGATTAAATTAACAAAGTCTATAAAAAACAGGTCTACAGTATGCTACATATAGAAGAGATATTAGCTCTCCTATGGTCATTGCAATAGCCAAGATGTGGAAAAAATCTAACATCCCTAGCAGATGAGTCGATGAAGATGTGGCATATGCACACAGTAAAATGCTGGTCACTTAAAGAAGGAATTCAGCAACACGTAACACACTGATGGACTTGACTTGAGTACATTATGCGAAGGGAAATAAGCCCATCCCAGAAAGATAAAGATGGTTAAGATTCCACTTACATGAGACATCTAAAACGATGAGTCAAATTAATAGAACGTGAGAGTGGAGTCGTGGTTGCCAAGGGCTAAGAAGAGGGTAAAACGGGGAGTTACTAATCAATGGGCATAGTGTTTCAGTAAACAAGATGAATAAGCTCGTGAAATTTGCTGTATTGTATACTAAAAAATCTGCCAAGAAAGATGTCTTTACCAAACACAAAATAAAAATATTTAAAAGAATATACTGTATGCTTAAACGGGAATTCTATAAAGCTTGTAAAGGGATATATCTAACATAAAACAGAATTTGTGCTGACGGATACACACATTCAACTTGTCAGAGGAAAGCAAAGCAAAGTAAAGTGAAGAAACTGTTCCAGAACTTTGGTTCCCAGCGAGAAAAAACAGTAAAAAATAATGGTACACTGACCTTTCAGGAAAATAGTTCACCTGCACATTAGCTTAGATATGCAAATGAAAAAAGGGATTTCTTTAAAATTGTTTAATATTTCTTTTTTAGTTTTGTTAATTTTCCACAACTAAATGAAATTTTATTTCCACAATTAAATGGAATGAAAGGGAATTTCTCAAGCAAAATGGTATTAATAATTTCTCTTGAAGTTATAAACTTAATTACTATACTCAGCTGAAAAACATTAAAGTATAACCACTGTCTACATCCACATTTAAAGTTCTAACATTCTGTTAATAAATTATTACAAAATGGACAATATCTTATTCTCTTTTTTAAATAGACAAAACAATTTATAATCACAGAAAACATCTACTAGAAAGATGGTTTTTTTAATATTTTAACGTATTTAAAAAAAACAAAAGCAACAATTCAATAAGGATCCTTCCATTGTTCTTTTTACAGATTTAAATGCTTTCATGTAATTTATCAGTTGATTTATAATCATTAACCCTCCAATCACTGAGTTTAAAAATTACAGTATTTACTGAGCTAAACTCTCTCACAAAATAAGGCACAACTACAAGATCACAAGTAGTAAACACAATACAAATGATGAATCCAAAAACTAAATGAGAAAATATTCATGCCAAAGTATCTACAGAAGCTATGAACATATGATCCAGTTCATGGAATTACAGAATGTCATATACATAACTGCAGCATATTATAATAAATTCATTACTTCTACACAGAAAGAACCTAACTATTTCCAATTCTATTTTATATAATTTTACATAAATTTAGCAAGTTTATGCACAATATTCACATCGCAACAATAACAAATTGATCATTAAAATTCAGGCAAAGGGCAGTTAAGACACAATAATGTGTGGCACATTGTAATTACAGAATAACCTCCATCAAGTTCATGTCTAGAAATAATCAATGGCACATTCAAATCATAGGGATCAAATCATCCATAGTTTTACGGCTAAAGTACATTAAAAAAAACTGCTATAGTCAAATAGTCATGAATATCAAAATATAAGATCATAATTTTCTCTCCACTTAAAAGCGAAACATTCTTATGCAAATGCAAGATTAAAAAAAGTGGCTTGAAAGTCCTCAAAACTACAAAGTAATCATACAGCCTTTCTAAGAGAGATGGGAAACTAACAAATTTGGCAGTTACTATTTAACATTACTGTGAGGAAACTATCAAACTAGCGAATTCACATTCAGAGGTAGTTGAACAAATGTTATTTGTATACTGCATTGAGGTTTTTGTGTTTGTTTCCCTCTTTTTTCTTCAAAAGGAAAAAACCCTATACTAGCAGCTTTGTCTTCTTCCTAATAAAAAATTTCTATAGTATAGTTTATTGTACAGTAACCCAGCAAGACTTGATTTTATCTCACATTTCTGAGCTAGGATTTGAAATTGTATAGCACATGATATCAGCATGCTTCGTATTAGAGCCAGGAGCTGGGAGTTCCTATGTGCCAGCTCTAATTCCCAACAAAATAATAGTACCAGCAGAGACGCCAGCAGTGGGGCCCTGACATGAGGACCCAGAAGACGACACTGTGATTAAAAGAAAACCCTGTGACGTTTCCAAAACACCTTAAACTGGTTAGTTAAATAGAAAAAAATGCTAGATTTTATTTCTGATATAAGAATAGTTGTCTACTGTAAATTATTTGTGACCTGTGAAATGAGATTAGTTAGACAAAAACTAGAAGATCACTCGAATACAGCTGATCTCATTTGCTTACTGTTCTGTGAATATGTGGGAGAACAGAAAAAAGGCGGGCAGTACCCCCAAATTGGAGATGAAATGAATATCTTAATCTAGAAGGATTCTTATATCATTTTACCATCTTAAAAAATAGTAAGCAGGCCCTCCCTGGTGGCGCAGCGGGTTAAAGCATTGCACTGAGAAGCTAAAGCCACTTCCGCATGAGTTCGATTCCCGCCTGCCCCGGAGGAGACCACATGGCGTGGCAGACCTCTCCTGACCCGCCCG